CCCTCAAGTTGGAGGGTGATGAAATGACCCCCAACTTGCCCAGAATAGACTGATGATTAGGGCCAGAGAGGGTTTTTGTAAAAACATCTGCAATCTGAGAACTTGACGGTACGAATGACAAAGAGATGAGTCCAACAATGTATTGTTGACGCACAAAGTGGCAATCAAGGTCGACGTGCTTTGTACGCTCATGGAATACCAGGTTTTTGGCGATATGAATTGCTGCCTGACTATCAGTATGAAGAGCCACCGGAAATAATGGAGAAACAGAGAGATTTTGCAAAAGTCGTACAAGCCAAGTTATTTCAGCCACTACTCGACGCATTGACCTATATTCTGCCTCTGCCGATGACAAAGAGACCAAAGCTTGTTTCTTGGACTTCCAAGATACAGGAGAATTGCCAAAAGTGATGAAGTATCCACTGATGGAACGTCGCGTGTCTGGGCAAGTTCCCCAATCCGAGTCATAAAAAGCAATTAAATCAAAAGAACGAGAAGATGACAGAAACAATCCCATTCCTGGATTGTTGAGAAGATAACGCAAACATCGCAAAGCTGCCTCAAAATGAGGGACACAAGGGGTCTGCATATACTGACTCAAATGCTGGACTGCAAAAGAGAGATCCGACCGAGTGTGTGTGAGAAAATTCAACTTGCCTAGAAGTTGGCAATAAAGTGTAGGATTAGAGAACAAGGCACCTTCATTTGCTCGAAGTTTGGAGCAAGGATCAATAGGAGAGGAAGCATGCTTCAAATTTAGAACACCAAATTCAGACAAAAGGTCCAAGGTAAATTTTCTTTGGCTCAGTATGATCCCTTGTGGTTCACGTAGAATTTCCAGTCCTAAAAAATAATGAACCTTCCCTAAATCCTTAATTTTGAATTCATGATCGAGGAAAAGTTTAAGAAATGCAATCTCTGTGGGGTCATTACCAGTTAATAATATGTCGTCTACATAAACTGCAACAAGAGAAGTCTTCCCCTCTGAACTTTTAAAGAAATAGGGAATAATCATTGAGTGAATGTGAATAACCTTTGAAATTGAGGGCTGCTGTGTGCTTAGCATACCATCGTCGAGAGGCTTGCCGCAACCCATATAATGACTTTTTGAGTCGACAAACATGATTAAGGGAAGGAGGTATCATTCCGGCAGGAAATTTCATTAAAACCTCCTCTTGCAAATCCCCATGCAAGAATGCGTTGTTGACGTCTATTTGAGAAATGTCCCAATTCCTTTTAACAGCAACAACCAATAAGCAATATACAATAGTCATTTTTACAACTGGGGAATAAGTCTCAAAGAAGGCTATTCTTTCTCTTTGTATGTCCCCTCAAATGACTAAACGAGCTTTAAATCTTTCAACTGTCCCATCTTATTTGTATTTGACCTTGTATACCCACTTGCAAGGTAGAGCCTTTCTATCTTTGGGCAATTCCACAACTTCCCAAGTTTTGTTGGCTTCAAGGGTTTGAAGTTCCTTAGACATTGCCTCTGTCCAATCAGGATGCAATGAGGCTTGGGAATATGTGGTAGGTTCAGATAAATAAGAAACAGAATTTAAGAGAGGCTGATTTGAATAGGATAAAGATGAGAAAGGTAGAACATTGGGAGAAACAAGAGAAGCAAAACAACTAGAAGAAAGATTTGTGACATACTGAATTACAAATATAGTCATTCAAATAACTTGGTAGATGATGGTCCCTGGCAGATCTTCTAAGAATAGGCTGAGTAACTGCAGAAGTGGAACCCGAATTCATAGGAGAAGAGCTTGAACCTGGTGAATTAGTCTGTAAAGTAGAAATGTGTTGAGGAGAAGAAACAACAGAGTGTTGTTTTGAAGAAGGGTGATTAGTGCTGGACTGAAATGGTGTGATAGGAGAGTGTGTTATGATAGAGGGAACAAGAGAAGAGGAAAAAGGATAGAACCAGACTGCAAAGGAGTAGGAGCAGGTTGAATGACACTAGGAGGAATAGGAGAAGATGAATGAAAATCATTGCTAGTCATCTGAGTAGTAGTAGGGAATCAATGGAAACAAAGGGGAAAATAGTTTCATAAAACACCATATCCAAGAAACAAAAACTTTGTTAGTTTGTAGATTGAGTAACTTGTATCCCTGTTTTCCCAAAGGGATATCCCAGAAAGATGTATTTGATTGATCTAGGATCTAATTTGGATCTATGCACAAGAAAGCTAGAGGCATAAGAAAGACATCCAAAAGATTTAAGACTGTGATATGAAGGAGCCTGACTAAATAAAATTTCATAAGGTGTTTTCTCGTTCAAAACCTTAGAAGGAAACCTATTTATCAAATATGTAGCTGTGAGCAAACATTCTCCGCAAAACTTAATAGGTAAATTGGACTGATACAACAGAGCCCTGCAAGTCTCAAGTAAAATATCTGTGTTTCCTCTCAACAACACCATTTTGTTGGGGAGAGGAAACACAAGTTGTTTGGTGTAGGATTCCCTGTGAAGCAAAGAATTGAGAATTCTGTGAACTGCAACCCAACTCTAGTGCATTATCTGACCTTACTATCTTAACTTTGGTATGAAATTGTCTCTCTTTCATAGCAAGAAAGTGTTTAAGAATAGGGAAGGCATTAGATTTTGTGCTAAGAAGAAAGGTCAGGCCCCCTACTATAATCATCAACTTTGGTGAGAAAATATTTGAAACCATCACGAGTAGGAGCCTTATAAGGCCCCCAAGTATCAACACGAATGAGATCAAACACATGTTTGGTTGAAATTTTACTGGAAGGAAAGGGTAACTTTGCCTGTCTTGCTTTAGCATAAATATCACAAGGATGGCAATTAGAGGGTAAAGCAGAATAAGAAATAGAGGCAATGGTCGTCATATTAGAAAATAGCATGTGTCCTAACCTGTTATTACAAAGGTTTACATCATTAGAAACGGAACTTAAACATAAAACAGAATTTGAAAACTTAGTACTATTGTTTTGTTTACAAAGAGAATGGCATATTGCCTTGATTCTACTAATAACTCTAGCTCTAGGCTTGACTTGATTTTGATTTAAAATATAGAGTCGCTGCTTTACTTCACCAAGCACCACTGGCCTCTTCATTGAAGGGGCCTTCAAAATAACATCAAAGGAAGTAAACATTAGGATGGAACTAAACTGGAGACATAACTTATGAACAAAGAGTAAGTTGTAATTGAAACTGGGAATAAATAAAATATTTTGAAGAGTGAAATTAGGTAAGATAGTAGCACAACCTGATTGAAAAACTAAAACTGTAAGTGAATTGGGTAAATTCACATAAATTGGCTTCGGAAGATTTCTAACATTGAACAAAAGTCCCAAATACGAGGTCATATGCTCAGAAGCACCAGAGTCTAGTATCCATGGAACAAAATTTAAAGATACACTAATATAGGATCTAGAAGGGGAGAAACAAGATGATATACCGACACAATTGGCAGAAGAAATGTACTCATTAATCAATTCACCATGTGTTCCAATTTTAACATGTTGAAGAAGCTGATTTAGACTGTGATATTGGTCCTGAGTCATTGGCTTTTCACTAGAGTTAACTGACTGGTTCCCTTGTTTTTCTGCAATAAGAACTACATTGCTTTTAGGGCCAAAAGGAAGTTTTTTAGACTTGGTGAATTTGAAATCAGTTGGGAACCCAATGAGCACGTAGCAATTATCAATGGTATGATTCTGCTTCTTGCAATAGGAGCAGAACTATTTCCTTCCATATGCATATGTTTTCTTGTCATTATATAACTTGTGTGCTCCATATTGTTGTTTTGCTGCGAGGAAAGATTCTTCACCAGGATGATGTGAAAGTTGAACTTCTCTTTGTTTCTCATCCCTAATGAGCAAGGAGTAGGCATGGTTGATAGAAGGCAGAGGTGATAGCATAAGCAAGTTGCTTCTAGTGCCTGAATAGGCATCATTCAAGCCCATAAGAAATTGAATCAACCTTCCATCCTGCTGTGATTTGAAGGTCTTGGACTTTCCTCCACAAGAGCAATCACAAGTGCAGTATTGACAAGTGTCCAAACTGTCGAGCTCACCCCAAAGCCTTTTGAGCTTGGTGTAGTAAGATGCTATATCCAAACTTCCTTGGACTGACTCACTGATTTACTTTTGCAAATGGTAAAGTTGGGGACCATTGCTCTGTCCAAACCTCTCTTCAAGCTCAGTCCAAATCTCCCTGGCAGTCTTGGAGTAGAGAACACTCTCCGCTATCTCCTTAGAGAGAGTGTTTAATAGCCAGGAGATCACCACGTCATTACACCGATCCCAAGATTTGAAAGAATCAGAGGAGATATTTGGTTGAACAGAGGTGCCATCTATGAATCCCACTTTATTTTTAGCATACAAAGCAATGAGAATTCCCCTGCGCCAGCCTCCATACCCTTTTCCATCAAATACATAGTTCGCTAAAAACATCCCCGGGGAATCGGATGGATGGAGATAAAAAGGATGATTGCAATCACCCATAGCTTTCTCAGATGCAGTAGAAGCAGTAACGTTTGTGAGCTATGGAGTCCTAGATTCTGAATCAGAAGGATCTCCCATAGTATAGATGAAATGAGCTAACCAAGAAAGACTGAAAGAAATTAGAAAAAAAAAATGAGGAAGAAGATGGAGGAATCGTTCTTTAGCGCTCTGATACCACGTTTGATTTCAAGGATAAGATAATGAAAAATTGAGATGTTGTGAAAGTTTTCTCTGTATATCCAAACGTTTGTTGTGCCGGAATATATATACAAGATAATGGAGGAAAAACTATAATCCTATTTGTACACTTGTGTAATTACTACTAGCTATTGTATAATTAATTATATGACATAATAAAAAGAATATTCAATCAATTCCTATCCTAAATTATATACACGTATGCAAGATTGTTCCAGAAGGTGCAAGGAATTAGCTTGACATTTGTGACACAGCCTTGCTAAATGGAGAGCAAGGATTTAATCAATCAGAAAATGAATGGACGGTGGTGATCTAAGTCTCATAATTAACCCTTTGAACATTGTAATCTCCGAACTCTCTCATTAGTTGTGTTCGAAGTCATATCTGCTTTCTTC